TCTCTGTCGGTTTCTCCGCAAATGGGCTCTGGTGGCCTTTCCAAAGACGCTTAAACTTGACGCTTGGCTTGTGCTGGTGGAACCTCAGTGGCGTTTACATATCACAGCCGTTGGGGAAAGCCAGGTCCAAGGGTGTTCAGCAAGTACATTTGGGGCCAAGGCAAAGGGTTAAAATTCCTGTGGGGCCATTTATTAGCCCTGTGTCCTCCATTCCATCCTCTATAAATAGGGGTGGTGGTGAGGAACAGATGAAATTAGATACATAAATTGCCTGGCATGTGATAGACAATACAGAATATTGATTGCTCTGTTTTTATTATCACACTGTTTATCCAGAAATCTGGATGGAAGGTTCTAAGTGACCAGCTTATCTATGCTGGTTGAGCGATGCAGAAGCCATGAGATTTGAAAATCCTTAGAGCAGTGGTTCCCAAAGTGTGGTCCCTAGGCCGGCAGCCTCGGCATCACCTGGAACTTGTTAGACAAGCAAGACTTCAGGCCCCACGCCAGATCCATGGAGTCAGAATCTCTGGAAGTGGGATCAAGCAATCTGTTTTTAACAAGCTTTCCAGGAGATTCTAAAGCTCTTACGGTCTGAGAACCACTGCATTTATGAGAAAGCAACCGACTTCAAAGGAGGCAATACAGAGCACCCCAAGAAGGACCAGAGTTTGGAGTCAGGCAGACCTGAGTTTAAATGGCAGCTCTGACTTTGATCAGTGTGTCTGTCTGTCTGTCTGTCTGTCTCTCTGCGTCAAAGAAAGTGAGTTAGCAAACGCTTATCTCACAGTGGTGACACTGAAGTGCACTCTAACATGTACTATGCCTGGCACGTGGTGTGCACACAACCAATACTAGTTATTGTAAAGAGCAATAATAATCCGAGCCCAGCCTCCATCTTTGCTTCCCTAATTCTTCCTATGATCCATCATAGGATAGCATAACTGAGACCAGAAGAATCTACTCTTTTTTTTTTTTCTCCCAATTAATAGGAGATGGTGCACTCATGGCATTTTAAGGAGATGCTCTTTGGTCTTCAAAGACTTCTTCAAAGTTCCCAGCAAAGCACAAGTGAGCAGGGGAGAGAGTGTGGCCCGGGGCTTCTGGGCACAAAGTGGGGGTGCCGGGCCTGCAGTGTCCCCAACAAGTGGGTCACATAGAAGAAAGATGACTCTCCCCTGCCGAAATCCACAGCCCGGGTCCTGTGGGCTGTTCTGTGATTATCCTCCCTCTTTGCTGTTCTCGGTTTAGGGGCAGCAATGCCGGAAGCTGGGCTGGTTCCATGGGAGCTGGGGGACAGGGTTAGGCCTGGATCCTGGGTGCTTTGTTTGTTGTGCACCGGGGAGGGGGAAGAGGGCGTGAGGGTTTTTTCTCCTTGTTTGTGTTGTCATTCTTCTCTGCCGTCCTGAACATTCATCTGATGAGTTTGGATCAATCAATCAATCTCGGCTGTTCGCCTTGCACCCTGCCTGCTGCCATTTTCCCTTTAGTTTAATTTCAGAGATGGCTCTGTACAGAACTCCCTGGAGACCTGAGCTGACTAATCCCCCTTCACTGTAATTAAAGTGTGCGGGATTGGGGGGGGCGGCTGGTGGTGGTGGTGGAGAAGGAGGGAAGAGGAGAGAGGAAGGAAGTCATAAATGGGATTTCTAAAGGAAAGCTTTTATATTGAATTCAGAAAGCCACATTTTATAGAGAATGAACACTGACCCTCTCTAAAAGGATTTGCTGGAAATTTAATTTAGCGTCTGTGGCTAAAAGGCACCTTTTAAAAATTGGCATTTGTATTCATTCACCTTATGTTCTGTAAAGGTGGTTTCGGCCACATGGAATAGGATGTGTCCACCAGCAAAAGATTGCAGAACGACATGCAGGAACCACCCAGCTACCTTGAGTGCTTTGCTATCTAATTAAGAAACCATGGCCTGGTACAGGCAGGACCGTGGGTTGGTAAGAGACTGAAATCTGGAGCTGGTTTCTTCTAGCTTATAATAATCATAACAATAGCAAACGTTTCTTCAGCGTTCTACCATGTGCCAGGCCTTGCACGCAGCACTTCCCATACATCATTTCAGTGCTCACAACAAGCCTAGGAAGGAGGCACCACTAATATCCCCATTTTACAGATGGGAACACTGAGGCCCAGAGTTAAATTGCTGCCCAAAGTCAGAAAGCACAGAGCCAGTGTCAGACTCGGGCAGTTTTCCATCAGAGCCTGAGCTCACACCATTCCGCATGAACAAAGGCAGAAGAGCAGGTGCCGGGTGAGAAAGAGGAAAGGGAGACACAGGAGCTTCCGCAGAGCCCAGGAGCCCATGCGGGCCACCCTCGCTTGTGTCATTGCCATCACACCTCACCGAAAAAGCATCGAAAGTAATTAAAATAATGTTCCTTCTCACTCAAGAGAATTAGAACTTCTCCTGGCGGTGCCCGAGCTTTATTAATAATTTCATGCTCTCCGTGATTATTTTTCTTTCGGTATTAGTATTTGGGATGGTATTGCTCAGTTTCATCTCCCAGACATGTGAAAGGCAAGAATCCACAAAATTCCAAGAGGAGGAAACTGAGCCCTGCGCTCCACTGCCTTGGACTTTTGACAAGAGTGCTCATTTGGCTTCCAAGTCAGTTTGGGTTCCCTCTTTTGCACGGCCCTCTTGGGAGGAGGGGAAAATTCCCATACGATGGACAAAGGGACAAGCACCATCTGTAACAAGGTTAACAAGACAGGTAGCTTGGGGCTGGCCGGCCAGTGCCGAGAAAGAACCAACCTAATACAATCTTCCAAAAGGGAAACCTCTGACATTTTTATCATCCCGGAAACTGATCAGCACAGTGAGGATCTGACTTACCTAAACGTCATTTTTGTCATCCCCTTGATCTCTTACCCTTGACTGCAACCGGCGGGGATTTGTTTGCATTGATCTGTGACCCGCCTCGTGCACCTACGCTCCTTGGCTCACGGTGAATCCCTGTCGCCCCAGTTTCCAGGCCTCATTGCCGCCGAGGGCAGCCACCTTCCAAACAAAAGCCAAACGCTCATGCAAAAGTTCTGCTTTGCGTGGCCCACAAAAGAGCTGTACCCCAGCCTGCATGTGCCACTGCAGCCCGCCCTGTGCTCCTCTGTGTCCCAGGGACACACCCACTGTTGCTGTGTCCCCAGGCAGCACTTACACCCGGTGAAGGGCCACCTGGCCATGGGATCCCCTCCTTTCCTTTCTGCTTTTGGGAAATAGCAACCAGACGAACGTGCACTGCCACGGCTCCTCCCTGATCCTGGCAGAAAGTGCTCTCTGCTTATTGAACAAACAGGTCTCGCTTTCCCTCCTACAACTGAGGTCCTTCCCACCAGCTTAGGATTTGGGTCCCCCCACCACCACCCCTTCCCACCTATCCCACTTTTTCCTAAATTCCAGACCAAGAGGAGGCCGTGTTTGCTTCAGCTCTAAGTCTGAGCTTAGAAGTCGGAAGGGGAGAGTCGCTTGGGACCCCTATACTCACTCTACCTTGGGCCTAGGAGCCTATGAAAATGCGTGCAACCCACTGGAAGATACAAAAAGAAAATTACATCAAGATTAGTGATTTTAAAGCAAAAATCATAAAAATCTTTTCAAAAGCTTTTTAGCAGAAAGAATTGTGTGTTATGTGGGATATGGTTCCTTTAGTGCGTCTGATGGGATGGGATCCGGGCTCCCTGAAGCAGCCAACTTGTCCAGCGGCCTGGCCCACGTGGGTTTGTGCCCACACGGCGGCAGGAAGGCTCAGCCAGCAGCAGCAGGAGCGAGTTTGCACTTGGCCAGCGCTTGGCAGTGTTGACCTTACGCTAAGTGGAGCATGGTCAAGAGCCCTTCAGCGCTCTCCAGAGCCGCTCCCCTGGGCTGACACTCAGTGTTAACTGGCTTGACGCAGAGTGCTTGAAAGTCCCAAGGTACGGCTGGCTGGTTAGCGCGTGCAGAATCGGGCATTTAAAATTTGCATCAGAAACCCAAGTATGTGATCAGGTGGTGTGACTGAAACCCACCCCCACCACAGCTAACGACCGAGGGGTGCAGGGAGCGTGGAAATGGGAAACCTTTAGAAGCCCCTAGATGTGCTCAGTTTGGCTCCCAAGGAGTGGAAGGGAAGTTCAGGTCATTTAACCAGACGGGATTCCCCTCAGAAGTGGAACATGCCACCCCTCCGGGGGTTCTTGTTCGTTCAAGGGCAAAAAATTGAGCTGGAATCACAGCTACCAGAAGAGCAAAGCCAGAGAGCCCTGGAACTGGTTCGAAAATCTTTTCAGAGTTACCCGAATCAGCCAGATCACACCAGATGCACCTGAACTTGGGGAGGAGAGGAGGGGCACTGCGGCTTGCAAGGGTCTGGAGGGGACAACGCCGTATTACAGTAGGAGAACAGAGAGAAGGCTCACTCACCCTTCCGTCTGCGCCCTGCTCAGCCCCGCAGGTGCACATGGTGGTATTGGTTTTAGGCACAGCATGCAGTGGGCTCGTTAACGGAAACTGAGGGAGGAAATGAAGGACAGCCAACAGGTGACAGCAACAGCACATCTCAGCCACAGTGCCACTATAGACTGGAGCACTGAGATTGAGAAGCGTGTTTTTCACGTAGCTAGCATAACTCAGGCTAGCTAAAGTACTGAGATTTGCAAATGAGTGGCCCCTTTGTAAGTTTGACCGGAATGAGGATTGTCGCTGTAGTAGTGTCCCCGTCCCTCTCCCATGTGCTGAGGCTTGCTTAAGTGGGAAAGAAAAGGGTGGAATTGCCATTAAGAAATGGGCAGTTGCTCAGAACCCGGGGAGCACCCTTTGAGTGTGGCCTGGCAGTGAAAGGGTTGAGGCCCTTGTCTCTCAGTAGTGCAGAGGGAAATGCTTCCCTGGGCTCCTGGGGGGTGTCACACTGGGGCAAGGGACAACCAAGCTTTGGGGCTACTCTGGCTGGCCAGTGCCAGCCTCACCACTTCATCTGTGACAGCGTCTACCCTCTGACCCTCCCTTTCCCAGGCGCCTGCACTCCAACCACCTGCACTGCGACTGCCACCTGGCCTGGCTTTCAGACTGGCTGCGACAGCGGCGGACAATCGGCCAGTTCACGCTCTGCATGGCTCCCGTGCACCTGAGGGGCTTCAACGTGGCGGACGTGCAGAAGAAGGAGTACGTGTGCCCAGGTGAGGTGCTCCGCCTGCTCTCCCCTGCTGTGCTGTGACTTGCCACCCAGGAGCTGTCCCCGCCTTGCCCCTGGTCTTGAACACCCCGGAGCCCAGAGCCTGGTGCAGAAGGAACCCCGTAGGTTGTCCCCAGTAGTCACTTAAAGAACTCGGGTGTGCCTCAAGAGGTTTAAAGACAGAAGTTCTTGTCATCTGTCAAAGGAAAATGCTAAAGGAACTCATGAATCACTTTCTGAGCCCCGACATCTAATGACGCAAAGAAACTTAATGTTTGTTCAGCCATACACGATACGGAAACAGGTATAATGGAGATCTTTTAGCATTTTCTGAACACAATCCTGTTGCGTGTTGCAGTAGAAATTGGGAGACAGGATGACGTAGTCTGTGGCATCAGCCTGCTGGCTGGAAATCCCAGCTCTGCCCCGTACTCGAGTGTGACTTTGGCAAGTTACCTCGTGTCTCCAAAATGGAGATAATAATAGTACATACGTCAGAGGACAGGAGGTAGGATTAAGTGAAATAACGCACATAAAGCACTTAGCGTAATACATAACGCTTGGTAAAAGCTAAATAAGTGGAGCTTAATTATTGCAGTTTAGTGGGCCCGCAAAATGTGCTGAGCTAACATAAGAGTTTGATCTGTGGGTAACTGAAGTGAAATAGAAGCACAGGTTCCATCAGAGCACAGAAGACAGAACGGAGCAGACACGTGACTCAAGGCTGCTCGAGCTCCAGGGATGGGCGGTGGCTGCGTGACCCAAGAACATCTCCCCAGGGGATATGGCTTTTACACTGGGTCCTAAATTTTGTTTGCTTGTTTGTTTTTCCTTTTCATTGGCATCATCTACTTCCATCAACCTTTCCTTTTTCTGGTGGCAAAGAAGTAGAGCTAATCCCTTGACTTCCTAAAAAAAAAAAAAAAAAGAAAGAAAGAAAGAAACTAGTTGAGTTTCCCAAAGAAGTGTTTCAATTTCCAGGAACTCCCCGTCCTAGAACTGGGGCCCAGTGGCTTCTGAAGGCTGAGCCTGGGGAGCTGCATGCAGGAGGGAACAAGGACAAGAGGGAGATTAGCACTGTGGGGGTCTTACTGGAGGTTTATTAAGCCTGGTACGTGCTGCCGGCTTCCCTACGGCCAGGAGTGCAGGCTGGCTCTCTTCTGTTCCTAGGCTGTGTTTGCAATGCACAGCAATTTGTCCCGAATTCAACTTCCTCTTGTTCTCTGCTGCTTCCTCCTGTCAGGGCATTGCTTCATCATGTTATTTGTTGCCAAAAAATATTTTAACGTGTCTCACGCGGTACCTCCATAACTTCCTAGAGACACCCGCTGAGAAATCACTTCCCATCAAACACATATAATAAAACTGTTTATCACACAGGCCCCAAATTCAAATATAGTGACTATAATTACAGTAATTATTAGGCAAAGGGTGCAATATTGGCATAAGTGCCAGTGAAAGAAATAATTACAGAGTGCAGGAATCATCCAAGAGCTCGTGAGAAAAACTAATTAGACAGAATGTTAAAACACATCATTATAGGTGGGTGCCAAGTTCAGTGCGGTTTTACAGCCATGAGCGCCACTTCTTCAGGAGGACACTGTCCTGTCAGAGGAGCGGCAAGACGTTGCTTGCCCAGTGACAGTCAGGTTCCAAACCCAAGGGAGAAAGGCTGGCCCTCCAAGTCCTGGAAAAATATAAGGCCCCAAATCTCCTTCTTTTGCAAAGGCTACTCTGGCAGACAGGTCAATACTGATAGTAACAGGGACATCTTGTCACCTCCTCTGTTTAGAGCATTTAAGCCCATTGCTTGTGATGGGCCTTGTAGCTCCTGAGTATGCAGCCCGGTGTCTCTTGAGGACATGAAAATTTAGACCGAAGGCTCCAGACATCACCATGCTGTGAACCTCCACCCGCTCCCCTGTGGTAGGAATTTAGGGCAGCGACATATTGGGACCCTGATGCATGAGAGATTCTCCTAAGTGCTCTCATGGTTTAAACACAAGAATGCTGTGAGGGGTCGCTTTCTGGAAAGGCCGAGCTTAGCTATAATGCTCTGCGAGCCTGGGTGCATTGGGCATCTGTGACAAATGACCCACCACCCATCGTTAGTGGGGTGAGGGAGGAGTACACCCTCCAAAGACCGCTCCTACCTCTGGGGCGATGGCTAAAGTCACTCTATGAGGCTGAGAAGTGGCGTCAGAGGGGGGAGGCAGCCTGGGGGAGGCTCGGTGTGTAAGCGTGCAGTCGGGATGCCCGAGGTCAGTCTCTGCGGCCCTACAGAGGGAGGGTGAAGAGATGAACCTTATTCACCGACTGGCCGGTCCCCCACACGCTGCCACGGATGGCGCAGGTCCGCCCCGACGCCAGCGCCCGGCAAGACGTCGGAAGGAGGCAGTTTTGTGTGGACCAGATTGTAGGTATTAGAAGCTGCCAAACCACAGATGCTCCTCATTCATGCTACAGCCCTGATCACTCACAGGAGGAGAAATTCAGTCAAGAATGGAAGGCAAGGCGGGGCGCGGTGGCTCACGCCTGTCATCCTAGCACTCTGAGAGGCCAAGGCGGAAGGATTGCTCAAGGTCAGGAGTTCAAAACCAGCCTGAGGAAGAGCAAGACCCCATCTCTGCTATAAATAGAAAGAAATTAATTGGCCAACTAATATAGAAAAAATTAGCCGGGCACGGTGGCGCATGCCTGTAGTCCCAGCTACTCTGGAGGCTGAGGCAGGAGGATCGCTTGAGCCCAGGAGATTGAGGTTGCTGTGAGCTAGGCTGACGCCACGACACTCACTCTAGCCTGGGCAACAAAGTGAGACTCTGTCTCAAAAAAAAAAAAATGGAAGGCAAGAACCTCTCTTAAAAAAACAGAGGTCACACCCGTGCAGGAGAAAGAAGGCACTGGGCACCAATTAAGCCATTCCTGCGTGTAGCTTCATTGCCAACGGTCCCTGTCAAGGCAGAGTAAGAAAAGCTCTCTGGGGCCTTAAATGGTATCGAAAAATTCACCAAACACGTGACTGCAGAGACAGGAGAGAGCTTTATCTCGCTCAGCCTGTGAGGGCCCTGCCTGCCCAAGTCCCTGATATCTCTCTTCGAATTAAACCCAGCTGTCCAGAGCGCAGCCTCTTCTCCCCGGAAGCTCTGGACTTGGCTTCCTTATCGCGCCAGCTAACCCAGAAATGTGCTAGCAGCGCACTTTGGCGAAATTCGTCTCCTCTGTCAACCGTACCCTTCCAGTCAAAGCCATTTATTTTCTTCCTCTGGGTAGACAATTGGGAATTTTTCACAAGGGTTGGGGAATATATCTTTATTTTATACTTTTAGTAACATCTTTCTCTATGTCATATGACTTGACTACTCGGCTTCTTCCATCAGCTATAGCTAAAAGGATTTCAGTGAACTTTTCTTGTTTCAAGAGGAAGGCTAGGCCCTAGGGCTAGAAGAGTCTGTGGTCTATGCTGCTTGCTGCTTAGACCAGCCCAGAACTTGATCACAGTTCTTGATAACAGACCAGAGAAAAAGGTCTCATTATGTAAGTTGCAAATTGTTGGGTCTTTTTTTTTCCCCCATTCTCATCTAAAGGGTTATTTTGGGGTTTAAACTCTAGGATTTATCTTTCCTGTGTTAATTTCCTGGTACCTCCATCGGAGAGAGTTTCTGCTAGTCACAATTTGTAATTCAAGGTCATTAGTTAAATATTTGACCTCCTGAATCCATTATCTCTTTCCTGCCAAAGTCTTTGAGCCCATTGATGTGTCCATCCCTTTCACACTTATCTGCTCTTGGCCTTGAACTTGAGATATCTTTTGGCAAAGACATTAATCTCGTCTTGTGTAAAAAGTGCCTTACACTTTTTCAGGCACTCCAGGGCCTAGAACGAAGCTTGATCCTAACAGGCTCTCAATAAACATTTCATTTATTATTAAAAATGAAATATGCTTATCTTCTTGGAAATGAGAAACTGTCCCTTTTTTTCTTCTTTTTTTTTTTTTAATTTGGGACTAGTTACTAAGTATAAAGATAATTAAGGTAAGCCATGACTAGCCACCCATCTCCTTAGGAGGTTTTAATTAAAATACCATAATTGGACATTGCAGGAATGAGATTATTAGGTTTATTTAGCCATTCCCAAAATTATCATGCCTCTGGTATTTAAATCACGTTCATTTATATTCTCATCATAATTGCTCGAGTCCCATTGTCATTGCAGTCTGTTGTTGGCTTTTGAAAGGCCAGAGGCCAGGAGGGATGCTTAATTTGAATACTGGAATTAATTTATTTCCATATATTCATGAAGCCATTGGAGTACTTGATTTTTTGCACTTGTACTCCATCGGGTGAGGGTTTTTTGTTGTCATTTAAACTTTCAAAAGATTCTGTAAATTTTTTTATGTTGTTTTCAATTGACACATGATAATTGAACATATTTTTGTAATACAGTGTGATGTTTTGATAAAGGTATACATTGTGTAAAAATCAAATTAGGGTATTTAGCATACCCATTATCTCATACATTTATCATTTCTTTGTGGTGAGAACATTTGGAATCCTCTCTTCTAGCTATTTTGAAATATACGATACATTATTGCTCACCATAGTTATGCTCCTGTGTAATTGAGCACCAGAACTTATTCCTCCTATCTAACTGTAACTTTGTACCTGTTGACCAATCTCTCTCTATTTCCTCCTCCCCGCTACCCTCCTCAGCCCCTGGGAACCACCATTTTATTCTCCAGTTCTATGAGGTCAATTTTTTTAGATTCCACATATGAATGAGATCATGCATTTGTCTTTCTGTGCCTGGCTGATTTCACTTAACATAATGTACTCCAGATTCATCCATGTTGCAAATAGGATTTCCTTCTTTTTGTGGCTGAATAATATTCCATTGTGTCTAGATTCCACATTTTCTTTATCCATTCATCTGTTGATTAACACTTAGGTTGATTCCATATCTTGGCTATTGTGAATAGTGCTACAATAGATATGAGAGTGTACACAC